CACCAGCTTTCAGTCGCAAAATACACCTTCCAACCCATTTGCCTAATTGCCCCAGACTGCATGAACTCTTAGCTTCTTCACCTGTCTGCCATGCCAGACCTTATCAAAAGTCTGACTGATGTCCATGGAGACTACATCAACTACACTAGCCTCAGCAATACACCTCAAAACATTCAAAAAAGTCAAATTTGTTAGACATGATCTTCTGTTACAAAGCCCATGCTGTCTATCCTTGATTAATCCTTACATCTCCACGTAGAGATTAATTCTGTCCCTCAGATTTGTTTCTGATAGTTTCCCTGCCACTGAGGTTAGACCGACTGTCCTGTTTTATTCCTTGCTCCCTTTTTGAATAATGATACCCCACTGGCTGTCCTTTGTTTCTCTGGCACCACTCCTGTGGCCTGAGAGGATTTGTAAATTAATGTCAGAACCTCTGCAATCTTCTTTCTTGTCTTCCATTGCAGCCTGCAGAAATTTACCAACATTCTTCAAAAAGCACCTCCTAAACCACTTCCATTTAGAAGAACAAAGGCAATAGATACATGGCAACACCACTACTTGCAATTTCCTATCCTGACTCAAAGTCTATTCCCCTTTCTGCTCTGATTTGGAATTTCCTGCAAGTAGCCACTCCAGTCCACATTGGTCAAATCCTTTTTGTAAATTAAAATTGGTCTTTCCCCAATCCAGAGCCTTTATTTCTCGGCCATCTTTGTCCTTATTTGCAATTACTGTAAATTTTACTGAATTATAATCATTGTCACATCCACCTTTTGCCTGGTTGTGTTCCTGAATATTACATCCAGCGCTGCCCCTCTTTTGTAGGAATAATTATGTGACCCCTCTCTCCCTGACGGTTTGGAGGTCTACGTTACAGCCCCACCAGCGTCTTTGCCCTTTTATGTATTTCATTTCTAATGAAATGGCCTCATTTTATGATGCTTTCAAGATATCATTCTTCATTAGTTAGGATCAAGGAAAACCCCAAGGCTTTTTACACATACGTGAGGAATAAGAGAATGACCAGAGAAAGGGTAGGGCCGATCAAAGACTGTAAAGGGAATTTGTGCACGGAGCCTAAAGAGATAGGAGAGGTCCTTAATGAATACTTTTCTGCGGTATTCACAACTGAGAGGGAACTATTTGTCGGGGACGTCAGTGTGAAACAGACTGGTAAGCTAGAGAAGGTCGATGTTAGTAAAGAGGATTTGCTACGAATTTTGAGGAAGTTGAAGATAGATAATTCCCCTGGGCCTGATGGGATTTATCCAAGGATTCTATGGGAAGTGAGGGAAGAGATTGCAGGGCCTTTGGCGATGATCTTTTTGACCTCACTGTCCATGGGTATAGTGCCAGAAGATTGGAGAGAGGCAAATGTCATTCCCTTGTTCAAAAAAGGAAATAGGGATAACCCCGGAAATTACAGGCCAGTTAGTCTTACATCAGTGGTGGGCAAATTATTGGAAAGGGCTCTGAGATAGGATTTATGATCACTTCTAAAGGCACAGTTTGATTCGTGATAGTCAGCATGGATTTGTGAGGGGTAGATCATGCCTCACAAACCTTATTGAATTCTTTGAAGAGGTGACCAAACACGTGGATGGAGGTAGAGCAGTGGATGTGGTGTATATGGATTTAAGTAAGGTGTTTGATAAGGTTCCCCATGGCAGACTCATGCAGAAGGTAAGGAGGCATGGGAAAGGGGGAAATGTGGCAGATTGGATTCAGAATTGGCTGACCCTTAGAAGACAAAGGGTGGTAGTGGACGGAAAATATTCAACATGGTGCTCAGTTACGAGTGGTGTACCACAAGGATCTGTCCTGGGTCCTCTTCTATTTGTGATTTTTTTGTAAATGATTTGGATGAAGGAGTAGAAGGGTGGATAAGCGAGTTCGCAGATGATATGAAGGTGGGTCACGTTGTGGATAGTGCGGAGGGCTGTTCTAGGTTACAAAGGGGCATTGATAGAATGCAGAGCTGGCCTGAGAAGTGGCAGATGGAGTTTAACCCTGAAAAGTGTGAGGTAATTCATTTTGGAAGGACAAACTTGAAAGCAGAATACAGGGTTAACAGAAAGATTCTTGGCAGTGTGGAGGAGCAGAGGGATCTTGGAATTCATGTTCGCAGTTGCCTGAAAGCTGCCACCCACGTGGATAGAGTTGTCAAGAAGGCGTATGGTGTGTTAGCTTTCATTAATAGAGGGATTGAGTTCAAGAACTTTGAAGTTATGCTCCAGCTATACAAAAGCCTGTTCGGCCACATCTGGAGTATTGTGTCCAGTTCTGGTCGCTTCATTGCAGGAAAGATGTGGAGGCTTTGGAAAAGGTGCAGAGGAGATTTACCAGGATGTTGCCTGGAATGGAGGGAAGGTCTTACAAGGAAAGGTTGAGAGAGCTCGGGCTTTTCTCTTTAGAACGATGAAGGATGAGAGGTGACTTGATAGAGGTGTACAAAATGATCAGAGGTATGGATAAAGTGGACAGCCAGAGATATATTCCTGGGGTGGAGACAGCTATTACGAGGGGGCATAGTTTTAAAGTGAGTGGAGGTAGATGTAGGGGAGACGTCAGAAGTAGGTTCTTTACTCCGAGAGTGGAAGGGGTGTGGAATGCATTGCCGGAGAGGGTAGTGGAGTCGGCCTCATGAGGGGCATTTAAGCGGCTATTAGATAGGCATATGGATGATAGTATAAGGTAGGGGTGGAGGTTAGATAGACCTTAGGGTTAGGGTAAAAGTTCGGCACAACATCGTGGGCCGAAGAGGCTGTACTGTTCTATGTTCTATTGTTATAATTGATTTTTTGATTAATATTATAACCCTCCCTTTTATAGTTACACTGTATGTTTTTTTAATTCCTTAATAGGATGAGGGCGTCGCTGGCTAGACAGCATTTATTGCCCTTCCCTGATCGCCCAGAGGGCAGTTTAGAGTCAACCACATTGCCCTGGGTCTGGAGTCATATGTAGGCCAGACCAGATAAGGATGGCAGTTTCCTTCCCTAAAGGACATTAGTGAACCAGATGGGTCTTTCTGACCATGAGCAATGGATTAACAGTCCAGCGATAATATCACTGGGCCATCGCCTCTTGTGGATAATAAAATCCATAAAATCCATTTCTGAAGAAGGGTCTAGGCCTGAAACGTCAGCCTTCCTGCTCCTATGATGCTGCTTGGCCTGCTGTGTTCATCCAGCTCTATACCTTGTTATCTCAGATTTTCCAGCATCTGCAGTTCCTACTATCTGCGATAATAAAATCCTGTTTTTTTTTTCCATTGTTGTCTCGGTCTTAGCTCTGATGCCTTACTTCCAAAGGCCTGTTTGTGTCCCCAGTTCATCTGTCTTATTCCTCAGGCTCCTTGCATTAAAGTATATTGCATGTAGTCTTACTAAACTCAACTCTCTCTTAAGTAGCTGAAGTTTCCTTTGCTTCCAGACTCATTTACCAATGGTTTAACTTTTAATTCCATCAGAATTCTCTACGAGGATTCCATTCACCTGCCAATCTGAAGTAGCTACGTCAGCAAACCACTCCCCCCACCCCCCAAAACCCCAACACGAAGACGTTACACACAAAGCTTTCAGTCTGGTGAAAAGACCGCAGCTGAGATTGCGGCCAGAGGCGGCACCTGTATATGATCGAGCAGACTGCCAGGACATTGGGGATTTCCCACATTGTGCACTGTGCGCAAATGACGGGCTTGAGCTCTCAGACATTAACTAACCACAATACGGACCCTTGCTTTTATCTTAACCTTATTCTGACTGAACTATACACTATAACAAATTATTTTTGTTTAATCCTCAACTCCAGCAAGCAAAGAAATTTTGTTTTAAAGTTGTAAATTTTTTATTATCTATGTAAACTGTGTACGCTTTACTTAGGCCATAGCTTCAATAAATATTCGCCCATGAGACCGGGGAAAATATCCAACAATTACTTACCTTCTCTCTCAGGTGCCAGTCTTCACTTTCTGGAAGCTGTCCTGTCTGTCTGTTTCTCGGACCTCTTCTGCCATTCCATCTCCCTGTAATCTCGCTGCTGCTGCTCACTGTCACTGCCTTCCATCTCCCTGTAATCTCACTGCTGCTGC